CTCCCTGGTTGACCAGGATTGCTGATAAATGATGGAGAGTGGCTTGGCCAGCTCCTCTGCCAGCTCCCTCAGTATCCTCGGGTGGATCCTGTCTGTCCCCATGGACTTGTGAGCATCCAGGTGGAGGAGCAGGTCGATGACTGCCACCTCTTCGACAACTGGGGCTTCATTCTGCATTCTATCTCCATCTGCCAGCCCTTAGCTTTAGGGAAAAGTACCAGAAGTAACTGAAATTACTCAGTTAATTTTAAGTTAAAATTCAACTCTGTCCTTCACTTTGAAGGTATTATTTAAGAAAAAGGTACAGAGTTGGGGAAGAGTTGTTATCAGACAGCATCTAACTTTTTGCCAAATGTATATTTCAAATACAGCAGTTTAAAAAAACAGGTACAGAAAAAGCAGAACAGAAAGACTAATCTTCTCATTCATCCTGTCTTCTCTCCCCTTGAAAAAGAAATTAGCAACATTTATCTAGTTTGAAACCACTATTTGATCATTGCTCACCATGAAGATTCCTCTGCAGAGTAAGAAAGAAGAGAGGTCTGCAGGGCTTTAACCTAAGCCATCAGTGCTGACAGCATTAGGTGGGCAACGGTGGACAATGCAGGATAATTTGACAGCTTTTTTACTCATAGTGCTGCTTCTGGGTGTGCCACATGAAATCAATGGAAATTAGTTATTCTGCATGTGACGATACTCTAGGAGAAGGAAGTTTTGTTCCCTCTCTCAGCGGAAGGACTCATGAGAAAGCAGAAAAAAGAGGTTTTGCCAAAATATATTTTACGAGTTACTTCAAGTACAACAAAGGTACTTTCCTCTCACAAAAGATTTCGGAAAATTTAGCTGTATTGGCATTGAAGACCCTAGAGAAAAAGCTTATTAAAATGCTTCTTTTTTTAATTCACACCTTCTGATAAAGCTTTAAGCACAGAAAAAACAGGTCTGACCTAATTTGTAGATTCTAGTGTAAGTGCATTTTTACCAGAGACTTTACTAAACATGAGATTACCAGTCCTATCCCCGGTCTCAAGACACCACTCAGTTATTTTTATCATTCTAGACAGATATTTGTCCCTCCTTCCTTGTTCCTCCACAATGCAATCCCCACCATCTCTCTAAGAAACTCATCTGGTGCCTCACCAGCCTTTACTGACAGAACATTAGTTACTACTGGCTAACTAATTCTTCCTTCCCAAATACATTCACAAAGCATCATTTAACTGGAGAAGGTTTATGGCTGTTTTCACTGGAACAGAAAATGTGACTGATCCCCCTCAATGCATCAGTACTTCTATAAGACTCTACAAGGCTGCTAACATTTGAGGAGAGCGTGGAAAGGACTCCAGAATATAGCTTCGGAAGTCAAGGTATTTCACAGAGAAACCACAAGTAGCAACAGGTAGTTCTGCTTCAACAACTCCGAACCTAGTTTTCACAGGACACTATTCGATACTAATTTTTTTGGCTAAAAGTCATCAGTCTTCTCGGGGCAGGGCGGGGGGAGGCACGGGTAGCAAGCACAGAGAAAAGAGAGGAACAACAGCAGGTGGGGGAATTAAAATAATATCCTGCCCTGGCTACTCCCAGACCCACCACAGGAGAGCAATGAGCCCCAGCATCCATGTGAAACTCAAGATCAGTCAACAGGAGAGGCTCTCAGGAGCACTGTGCAGACTGAGTGGGGTCACTTCCTACAAGGGTGTGGGACACAGCATAGGAGGCAGGGGATGTTTAGGGGAGAAACAAAAGGCTCAAGAAAGATTCTCACTAGTGTTTTTTTTTATTATTATTTTTAAGCACCATATTTAGGTGCTACCAGAGAAATAAACACTGCACAATTTTATTTCTAGATTCTAAACTTGCAGTCAAGCTTACAATGACAGCCCTAACAAAAAGACGTACACTAAAACAATCATTTAAAAAAAAAAAGTTTCCACATGAAGCACCATCACCATTATTTCTCATTAGCCATACCTTCAAAAACAGCTTTATTGGATAATCCCAAAGCTGGCACAGTTGCACCTTCGGGAAGATCAGATGATTGCTGAATTTAAAAAAAAAAAAAAAAAAAGTTACAGAGATTGTCCTGTAGGTTCAAATTTCAAAGGCAACAGTTTAAGGAATTCCTGTGATAAAGAGAGACTTTTCTAGAGAAGTGAAGGGGGGGCACTTTTGAAAAACTCCCAACTTATCCAGAACGTACCCTGGACAAAATGAAGACAAGTACGCTGCCAGAAAAGAAGCTCATCTAAAGCCTCAGCTTAAGGGTTTTGCTGTAAAGCATGCATCTTCATCCCTAATTACAGGTTTTCTTCCACAATCTTATTTGTTCTAGGATATACATGATAATTAATCAACTGAGAGCACTGCAGTTTTTAACACAATAGAACTGGGAAATAGTCTGTTCTGAGGTGAAATAATAAAATTTTTGGAAAAGGGGACAGAGGGTGAGTGCCTGTGCCCACAACTTCAAACACAACCCAGTACATAGCACAGAGCTGTGGCTGGAGTACGTGGCTGTTCAGAGCAGCACAGAGGAAAGACTAACTGTCAGAAAATAATTCCATAAAGGTATGGGGGAAAAAGCCAAAATTTAGAAAGGGTAAGTGAACTTGGGACCCTTTGCGCAGAGATGGAAAAAGATTAGATTTAATAGCTGTAAAACCCCTTCCTTACAGCGTCTGAAAAGTTCAAAGACAGACTGTTTTACAGAATTGGATTAATAATTTAGGCGACACCTTAAAATACTGTTATTTATTTAAATGTTCATAATTCGATGAGAGAACGTATGAGACGCACACCAGTCTAAGGCCTCTAAAATAAAAATGGTTCTTCATTACAACCCGAAGTATAATACAATCCCATGGATTTGAACTGAATATAATCCTATTCAACCCTTTCTGAATATAAAGCTGGCTTTTTTGGTTTTAAGTACTTTTTGGGGGAAGGCGTTTGAGCTAAACTAAGAAAAAGCTTACCCACTTTAATGAAAAAAAGTATTCACAGAAAACAATTTCAATAAAGCTATTTAAGAGTAGCTGTATCATTCGAGCTCATAAAGCCTTCCTCTTTAAACAAAGCCCATGTGAAACACTTTGTGATATCACAAATCAAAAAATAGCACTCAGAAGAAGAGCTGATAAGGAAAGTCTACAGAAAAGTAAAATAGTGACATCTGCCAGCATTATAAAAGCACAATGTTATTTGTACAATTAACACAAATGCTTACAAAGTCTTATGGAATTAAAGCGCTGAACAGCTACTTATGTAACTTCTTGCTATCAAAAATGAATAGATTTCTTTCCCAGATGTTTCAATTGTTAAATGAAATGAAAAGGCTAATCCATCTCTGAGAAGCTACAGAGAAAACACCGCTTGTGAGCCAGAAATGCAAAGAGCGTGCGAGGCACAGTACAGAGGCAACTATCCCAAATAAGGTCTGCTCTACAAAATGTAGAGAAAAACAGAATTAGCTCTTAAAGCGAATGGGGAGCAAACAAAGGACGGCAACTCTGCAGTCTTATCTTTCCACAGAGTAGGAAAGTATACTTATTGACAACTAAGAACTGGAACGTAAAGGCCTCAAGAAAATTTCCAATGCCAGAGGAAATAAAGCATGACCAAGTACATATTCATAAATATTTATATGTAGCAACCAACAACAGTCCTGAAAGCTTTGTGCTATTTCCAAGCATACAATTAAAACAACCAACAACACATAACCACACAACAATAATTACATCTAGACAAGACTAGTACAGCCTTAAATTAAGGAGAAACACATTCCCAGGCTTTATTGTTTGCTTTCAAATTACCAAGTATGTACAGTAGTCTACTTGGTCTGACTTATTTAAAATTTACCCATACTCTTTGCAATCTTCAGATACTAGGTCTTGTTTAGTTTCAAATAAAACCTGTTTTATAAGACACCACCATGAAAATACATATGAAATAACACACATGGAAGCAAATACAAGGGAAAGGAAAAACAAAGTTAAGGTTTCAGAACTATTAAAAGAATTTTTACGGAGTTTAGTGCAATTTGACGTTTTCTAAAGCATTAGTTTTATTTACATGAAAGAGGGCTGTCTTCATTTAGCATTGCTTTAGCACACTTACGTGGGAGCACAGCTTCTCCATTGGAATACCAGTGATGTTACTGAAATTTTCTATAAAATTCTTGGGAGCACGAAAAACTCGAAGCACTTTTTCATCTGCTCCCGACACAAACTGAAACCGGCCGATCATTGCCAGACAACGCATGTCATATCCATGTACTTGCGGCCTTGCAATTTCATGCCAGGTTACCTAAAAAAACAGACACACAGTTAAAACACAATTCTTAACCAGAGAAGCAGCAACATTTTGAGTTCCAAAAAAGGACTAATACTTTACTTGCTGACTTTATTAACATAAAGGAAAGTTAATAGCAACCTTCTACTGACATTCATAAAACTGATGTATACTCGCCTCAGTTAAATCCTATTTTTCCACCAAACAATTCTGGTAATTAGTAAACTGTGTCCCTGCACAGATATGTTTAAGGCATTCGCTTACCTTCATTATTAAGTGCACACCACACTTACTGTGACTTCTTTATGCTAGACAGTCAGGAATAGGACATAATTTGCTTAAGCAAAAGGAGGATTGTTTGCTACTTACTACTTCCAAAGCTGTAGCTCTGAAAGACGTAAGAAAGGTAGTGATAATTACCTTGCTTCCTTCATCTGTCTTTCACAAAGCACAGCAGCACTGCTGTCAGCAGGCTACAGGTTCCTACTTCCCCTCTTTCTTTAAATACTCGATTTTAGTGAGACCATTTAACAGAAGCTTTGCAAAAAACCTGACAAAACCAGAATACCTTCTTATAGGAAAAACATCTAGAAAATCCTGATGATTTTAGAAGTGTTTTCATTTGACATATTAAATTTTTTCTAGTTTCCTGAAATATTCATATCCACACTTCAAGTATTAATCCAAGAAAACCAGAATTAACAGCTGACCAGAAATTAGATAGGCAAAATAGTTTTATAGTCACACTAAGCAAAGAATATTAGCAAAAAAAGATATTAATTTATTGAAATTGCTTTTCTAAAAATCTAATTTATTCTACACATGAAATAATTGATTCTTAAAAAAAAAAAACTTTGTCTTCAAGCAAATACAATTTCATGAAAAGATTTTTAATGTCATTTGCTTCTACTCCTATATGATACTGCAGCTGAAAAAATAGAGAGTGCACTTTTGAGTTAACAGCTAGCAGAATTAGAATTAATTTAATCAATTAGAATTAATTTAGACTACTTCAGTATTACAATGCCTGGAAAACTGCAGCCAAGACAGAATTTACGTTGTACTAGATATCATACAAACATAAGGAAAGGCATTACGTTGACTGCAGACTGCATATATGACACTAAAAATTCAACTGAGTTTCGAATGTTGAAGCTTCTGATAGAACCTGAATGGGATATTTGAGAGATCCTACAAAATGTCATGTTTTCACAAGAGCTTGATTCTTTTCCAATGAGAAAAAAGCATTAAATTCTTTAAAAAAAAAAAACAAAACACACACACCAAGCAAACAGTGCAACAAACCCTTCTTACCCTTCACTAGGTGCATCTTTGCATGCTTTAGAACACAGCACATAAAAGGAATGAAAAAACCAAAACCACCCAAACACCAAAACAGACAAAGAGAGGGCTACATAAGTCATGCAATAAGCTTCTTCCAGAAAAATGAGGGTGCAAATTTCCATGACAAATTGAAGCTGATTGTTATCCTTCATTTCTGATATTTGAACCCAGGACAATATCAGAATTGAGATTTTAAGAAAGGATAATTATTTGCATTTAACATTTAGTTCTCTTTTTATACAGAAAAATGTGAATATTGAGCTGTAATACTAACTTTTCATAAATATCTGAACCATCCATTGTGTCTTGTTAAGACAAACATCAGATGTCACCTGTTGTAATTTTCCAAATGCTAAACTCAGTATGGTAAAGAAAGTAAGGCATTTTAAAAGCCTATGTTATCTAAGTTCATGAGCAGCAGAACTAAACACCTGGTTTTCAGGGTTCAGAAGTCCTGAACACACCCCTTCAAATGACCCATTTCTATCTCAACCCTCCATCTCACCCCACCGACAGGATACTCTAGCTTTCTCCCACACCTCGTGCAGCAACAAGTGTTGATGCTACTTGGATTTACACTTGGTTGAACTAGCCAGGTGGCTGCTCTGTCGGAACAGGAAAGGGAATTACGATAATTCAGTTCACACCAAACTTAGATATAAAGGCTGCAATCACTCTGCTAAATCAATTAATTCAAAAGTTTCAGGGACAGCAGGAACAGCTGCACAGGTAAACCATACAAAGCTCAGTTCTTTCAGAAAACAGAATAAAAATTTAGCAAGCAGCATACACAATAAAGAATAGTACTTCAGCAGGTCATAGAGAACGTGATATTGACCACTCTTTTGAATGCTGCCAACTTACATCATGTGCTAGTCCTGGACTTTGCTTCCATATGTCAAATCCGACATACTACCTTTTCCACAGAGCTGTTGTACCCTCCAGATTGGAGATTAGGGGAAAAGGCAGGGAAGGAAACTGAAGATGCCCTTCCTACAACACAAGGCAAATCTTAGCACTTGAGCTGGGATTGCCACTACTTCTGTGTGGCCTGGAAGAAGGAAATCAAGGAATTGATGCCAAATTCACTCTCCCAAAAATATTAGACAACTTGTGCTGGTCTACACTACAGAAGCTTTGATGAGACAGTTGTAAAAGGCACCTTTTGCCTCCCCCAACTAAGAGCACAGCTTGCACAGTGTCTTACATGACCTCAATCAGTCTAGTTTCTGCCAGTTTCCTGAACTGAACATTTGTACTGTTCTGCCAGAAAAAGCTGTATTTGTAGATGAGGAAAATGCATGAGCAACTAGAAACAGGAACTTTTGCATTCCTAGACAGGGTTTCCCACATCAAAATTTAGACTTATTTTGGAACACACAAAGTTATTCAGGAATAATTTGTCTGGAAAAGTTGCTTGCACAGGCACTAACTGCACTCATGCAGTTCAGATAATCATTCCAGTAAAACAGTCAGAGTCATAAACAAAGTAGTGTAAAAAATACAGTGAGAACTTTGCTTAGATTAAGCTTGTGTAAAAGCACACAACCAAAGCTGAGTTTCTTTATGACTACCTGCAGCAGTGCTTAACCAAGTGTTAAAGAAGGGCAACAGATGATTATTAGGATCAGCCATGTATTCCTCCTTCTGAATTATTGCAGAGCCTGGTTTTTAAGACCCTGTGAGAACACTAACTGAAGGTAACCCGGGGGTGAACTCAGGATTAAACAGCAGTCATGCTATGTGATTGCTAAAACTCTGTCACCAGGATTTTTTAAAGTGAAAACAGCACATACTGAATGACCAAACCAAGCATTTACACAAGCAGTTTTCAACAGATCATGGCTTGGGGAAATTTAAGGTTTGAGTTATATTCAGGTGACTTGTTCCAAACTCAGGACAGAGAAGCCCTCTTTACCAAGCTCACAAAATCTTTGAAGATCGTACCTCTGTCTCTTGTTTTCTTTTCCACGGAGCAAAGAGTCTAGTAGTTTGATCAGAACCAACACTGATGATAAACTCTCCTTCTGGATCCCACTTTACATCCTCTACACTGTTAAAATGTCCTGAAATCACAACTTCTGGAGTCCATTCTTTCTATTAAAAAGTCACCAAAGAAGCAAGTAGTTTTCAATTGACTGATTGGCATATTCTAACCAAAATAAAAGTATCAACATCCTTATTAAGAACGCAAAAAAAAAAAAAAAATTTGAAAACAGCAAATTATTAGAACTCAGAGTGGCTAAAGAGACATAAATACTGATTTATTGCTCCAGTCTAAAAGAAACTTCTGTTACTGGTTCAGCTGCCACTTATGAACAAAGTACAACCACAAAGGAGTTCAGCCTATTCCACTGACTTTATGGTTCCCACAAGGAAGGAACAGGTTATAGAGCCTGGGAGATTGCAACCTCCCTACTATGCAGGAGTGAGACTCCTACAGAATATTATATTCAGAGGACTATTTCAATCATTAATTTTAAATTGTACTGTTACACTTTTCTTTTAACAATAGAACTTACCTCAAGTGACATCTAAGTGTAGTTCTTTTAAGTACTACTAATAACAAAAAACCAACATACCTTATTAACTGCAGCCTGTTTCCAAAGGTGTAGTGCTCCATGAAAAGCATGAGCAATGATCATTGAACCATCTGGACTAAACTGGCAGTCAAAAAATCCGAGGGTATTGCCACCCACTTCACCTACCCGCACCTGAATTAATGATCAGAAGTGAAATATCCATGAAAATGGCCTTCCATTCATATGAACTCACCCTAATCTCATGAGATGAAATTTTAGCTATAGGCAAGAGTTCACATTACACACAAAAAATACATTTAAAGAATATTTTAATTGCAACGTTAAGCACTAAAATATTATGGGAATTAAAGCTGCATGCCACTTTAATGGAGCCTCCCTTCATGAACATCTCACAATAGCATCTTGCTCAATCCCCCAGGGGAAAGAAAACACTACACTAGATGAGACGGGAACCCAATCTTTCTATGTTTCAGTCCAGTCTGTTGGATGCAACAGTTTCTTATCATCTTTTGCCTTGCTATTGCTCTGTTGCACTAAATGGAAAAGTGGTCGAAAGGAACAGTAGTTCCCAATTACTTCCCCTCCTCCCTTAATTTCCATGATTCACTACCATATTTCCACTTCCCTGTTTCTCCATGAATCCCTGCAATTTGCTCCACATTCCTTCTGTGGCATATTTTGGCCTCTGTTTTGTGCTTCCCTTGAGACTTTGCATGCATGTATGCATATATTTATTCAAGATATAAGACCACAATTCCTTTCAAGCGGAACTCTTAACAATTCCCCCATTATTATACAGCTGCTTTTAAGATCACAATGAAATGAATCTATACCTCATTCTAAATGGCAGCGTGGACTACTGTGTCCATTTTAATAGCACTCAATTAAAAAAATACCACTCATATGGAAGTGACTTTGATATGCCATGCTAGAAGCAGAATTCTAGTCTCACCTCTGAGCAGGGGAATGATTTTGAAGACTTCTTGTTCATCATATCAAAATGAAAGAGAGAAAATAGGATGTTCCCTTTGTACGCTTCCTACAGGCTTCCAGCTCAGGTTTCCCTCCCTCAATTCAAAAAGGATTGTTGCAGTTAAAATGTCTGATCTGAACTGCAAGCTGCACATTTGAGGTCTAACCAATGCAAACGGAATGTAAAAAGAAATAGTAACAACTTACAACAAGCTTTACTGCACAAACCATTTTTAGAAGCTTGTAAATTTAGCCACAACTAAGCATTACAACTAGGGACAGCAAATCTATGTGATCACCCTATTATGAACTAATTTCTACTTCAAGTAGAAAGGCACAAGAACTTTTCAATGGAACAGAGGAAAAATTAAATACACTACTGTAATTCTCTTTTTTTCACCCAAGAGAGGATTAGAACTTCCTTTGTGACAGGAAAGATCATAAACAATGGCTGACATAACCCAACACAAACAATTTCAGCCGAACTATTGCAATTTGGAAAAGCAAGTCAACTGAAAACAAAGACATCTACCAAAGCACTAGATAAATCTGGTTGTACTACTTGTTCATTTAGGATGATCCACATTAGAACAGTGTTCAAAATACTACAGTGAAATGTGAGTATCCAGCTCAAATGGAATAAAAACCTAATGACACAGCCTGCAAACAAGTTACTGTGAGTAAAACCAGGCTTGCGAATTGCGTGCCAGCTGCTCTGTAGTAACTGCTTGGGTGCACATTCCCACAAGGATTAACTACAAATAATTCAGGAGGGTTTCTTTCTCTTCTTACCAGGAGTACACAGCATGTATTACTATGCAGCACCTGGCTTGCTATGAGATGAATGACAGTTGAGCATAAACTCCCCTTAGAAACTCCCCAATATGGTAATAAGAGAGCAAACAAGCAATAAAAATCGTATTGCATCACATAATTTTTGAAAAAATATAGTTTTACTCGCAACACATCATCAGAATAAGTATTTTTGCAAGAAAATGCTTTTGCCTTTCTCTCCCAGCATTTTATAGCGTTTTTGTTCCTTACAGTACACATACGATGCTGGAAATGCAACTTGAATACAGTACATATTGTGAAAAAGACTGACACTTGCCTGTTCTAGCCAGACTCCAGATTCCTTATCGGGTTCCCAGATGATCACAGTTTTGTCCATTGATGCAGACAATATCCTCATTGGTTGTTGCATGCTGCCATCTACAGTACAAGGAAAACGATTACCCTACAACCTATGAGAATACTTTCTAAGAGAATTTGGTCATACTGAAATCTAAACACACTACGAAAATTGTTCAGCATCAGACACATGCAATGCAGTACTTAAATGCCAGACTTAACAGGCTCTAAGTTCTTGCCAGGCATTCATTAGGAGGTATTGTATTTTTCAGCCATAATCTCCTAAAGGAAATGTAAAACATGTACATGAGAACAACCATATTCTACTGTTTATTCACTCCAAACTGATATTGAAACAAATGTAATTTGAAGGAAAAGGTAGAGCTTCACAGAGAGACTGCATAGCAGTTCTCAGTTCTATTCCTCAAATAAGTTTTTACTGAGAGATTTACAGTTTAAAACAAAATAATCTCTATGCCAGTATTCACTGAGGGGGGTTCTAAAGTGTTAGATTCATTACAGACTTCAATAGACTCTAGCACCTTATAATACATACAGTAGTAAGGACTGCTCCCCAAAATGCAGTGAAACACTCCAGACAACTGCCCAACACAGCCAGAATGGGGAAAAAGGAACTGGTTCATCGCACAGTTGCAAAACCCATAGGAGAACCACTGAGGAACCTTTCTTGAGAATAGAGACATTGGTGGGCATCGCATGAGGTGGTATCTTATGGCAGCACCAGACCTCCTACCCTCTGCATTGAGAATATGTCTGTCCAGATCAGTCTGCCTCTACTGAGGAAAATCTATTTTGGGGAACCCAAGATTGGGCAGGCCACAGAACGCAAGCAGCTGCACGTATGCAGAAGCATGATGTAAAGACACCTGGAAAACTTAACGGTCTAACAGGACAGTTTTTCAGATGCAGTGCAAGACTTGCATGCCTATACTGCACCTAAACCTTGCTTTAACAGGCAAAATCTTTTATTGGTGTCTAAAAAAAGTTAAAGAGCAGGTAACTAAGCCAATATTTCTAAAGCAAGTCCTGTGTCTTTCACTACAGGTATTTTGACATTCTAATTGCACTCTACTGTTCAAGTGTTGTATATACACTGACAAAGCTGTGCTTTGTACTGGTGAAGTCACCTGTCATCAGTAACTCCAAAACGTCTCAGAAAAAAAGGCACCTTTACCAATACAAACACAGAAGGGCGTTCCGATTGTGCAAGCACGTCAAACCAACAATCTCCGTCTCTTACATGCCAGGCAGACACACACCAGCAAATCAGTACTGCAAACAAGGCTGTCAGAACTTACGGATTTAAAAAGAAAGATAAAGACTAGGGCAAAATGAGAAATTGAACTCTAAATAACAATTTTTTCAATGAGAGTCTGCATTAATGCCTTAAAGATACATGCTAGAGAAAACTGATACTCGAGGAATCCCTGGCATGTTATATTAATGCACGGAAGACCGAAGATTAATCTTCTGAATGTTGCTATTTGTCCCTTTCTACTCCAAGAAAAACAAAGGAGCGCTCTTGAGTTAATGCTTACCTTCTGAAGAACAGACATTTCAAATACATGTATCAAGGTAAACTATTACAGCTATTAATTCATACTGATTAAACTAATTTGTACTCCATAAACAACAAATCAACTACAACAAAGCCAGTACAGCTCAGTTATTTCATTCATTAAAGAAAACACAAGTAAAAGGCAACATCCATTTACTTATAAAACATTATTTGCAGAATTTAAACATTTTCATAGTCCACAGTGACAAGTGAACACGCAAACACAATACAAAGACATCTGACTGTACTCGATGTATACAACACTTAACTGCTAAGTGTTTGGTATCTTTTTACCTTTGGAAAATGAAGGTTGCCAGTGAACTGCATACACCCAGTTTTCATGACCAGCCAACACCGACTCCAAAGTAACTGCATATGTTGTATCAGTATCTAACACAAATCAGAGAAAAGCACATTTCTTTCTAAAAGCCAAGAAAGACCGGGTCATTTCTGATATCTTCAGTGAAAAAAAATCAACTGCTTTCATCATCTACCAATATCTCAATAGCCTATTGACACTGAACAGCTCCTTGAAAATCTACTTTGCCACAAGCCCTGAGTACCAGATTGACGCTAAGAGGTCAGCCTATTGCCTCATAGTGGTATCACAGAATTCCTGGAGAACTCTCAAGAAATTTTGAAATAAATGCTCCGACATTGGCTCTACCCATACTCTTAAGCATATTTACATCTCCAGATGACTGTAAATACAAGCATTAAGATACTTCAAACAATGAATCAGGATTTGCAGCAAGTAGCGAGCACTTTTTACACATAACATCATACAAATTTCATATTACCTGAATTGCCTAATAATTTACCCTACAATGTCAGCATTGAGAACCTCTGATGCTACAGTGCTCAAACAGTATGTTAAATAACCATAAAGTAAGCTTGCACATACTCATCTGTTCTCTCCAGTACTTTTCTATGGTTTAAGAAACAATAACACCTCTTAATGCATTGAATTCAAAAGAAAGTTAAAGGTATGCTATTAAACTGGAGGAGAACTGCACAACAGCTTACCTCCCACAGACAAATACATCTCCTATATACTGCATTTGGAACATGTGTAACAATGCATGTTGATGTTAAGCTCTCTCACTGCTTTACCATTTTTTGTAACGCATCATTAACTTTACATAGTCACAGCTTTAAAACAATAACTCCACTTTTTCTAACAGCTGAATAAAAATAACGCAGCCAAACTGGTCTCAGATTCTTTTAATACAAGAAACAAACCAAATTAGATGGTAACCATCTTGTTAGCTCCCCTGAAACCACAAACACATACACAAGTGAAAAGTTGTGCACGAGAATTACAGCTCTTACCTACCTTTGACAGTAAAAACATTCTCTTTCAGTCTTATGGAATTATCTTCAGTTTCTGGAAGTTGTTTTGATTTTGTACACACTTTCCAAATTCTTATCAAACAATCCTGAGCACAGCTTGCTAAGAAAAGGTCTTCACCTATTCGGTTTAAAAAAAAAAAAAAAAAAAAAAGCTCTTTTCTTTTTTTTTTTTCTCTCAAACTTCCGCCCAAATTCTTATCAAAAAAACCTGGACACAGCTTGCTAAGAAAAGGTCTTCACCTTTTCGTTTTAAAAAAAAAAAAAAAAAAAAGAGCCATGTTCTCATTGCTTTTTCACTGCAACTACTGCCATGACTAACCTACCATCTTTCCAAACATGCACTACAGCATTATCCTAATTTTTCCTGTTCTACACAGTATAATAAGCTGCTGTTTCATTTTAAAATCAACTCACTCTCCCATTTCAAACTCTCTACTAGTTTATAACACACTGACTATGGACATTTCCCTGCTTATAAGACATGGAAGACATGGTAAATACTGTACATATTGTACATATACTTCCCTACTACTTGTGGCCTTCGCTCTCGAAATTCTGACAGCCTCAATACTCTTCAAGAACTCCTTTCCTCCTTTGCTTTCTTCAGGATTGTAACATCCTCTAATTCTGTCTACTTTATTTTTGCCATTGCAAGAACTATTTGATTAGTCAACATCTGAACAGGATCTCCTCTTAATCTCCTATTCTTAAAAAAAAAAAAAAAAAAAAAGGAGGGCGGGGAGGAGAAGAAAAGTACTACTGTACTATTTCCCCCTACTTTCCCCGCTTTGAAAAAGCAGCCAACTCTTCCTCACTCAGATACAGACATTTGCATATTGAAAAGGACAAGTTGTTAAAACTCCTGTTTGTTTGCATTTAGGTACCAGTCAAGTAAACATACTTGAAGCAAGCAAGACAAAATGAGGGATGTGGTGTCCTTTATCAATCCTACTGTAGCCATAATTTTGATTAACTAAAATGTAACTATAGTATAGGTTCAACAATTCTTATGTTTTAACAGGACACGGTGTTTTATCTTGATTTTTAATATTTGTAGCACCATCTCAGGGAAAAAAAAAATCACAACCACAAGAGCTTAGCTGCTACAGTGCATCAAAGCTATCTGTTGGAGGGGTAAAACAGTAGTACTGTCATTAAACCAGCATTCCACTTTATTCATCTTTCATACTGACCACAGACGGCCCATTCAATGCCTCTTATCCAATCTTCATGGCCAGGGAGTATTAAGGCTTTCTGAAACTGAATAAAAATTCCTGTTACATCACAGAAATGCACTTAATTACTATGCACATATCAGCAATTAGCTTTGGATTTTCAAGTCTTTTACATCTCCAGCTTCTATTATTTGAAACTGGAAAAATAAGCTGCTGCTAAGGATTGTAATTTATTGGTAAGAATCTAAATAGGCCTTTTTTGGTTTTACTACCATTGGGTAAACGTGTCACATTATGGCACTTCCCACATATAAGCAGGAAAGAATGAGAATTTAAGGTGCTCACCTTCAAGAGGCTACAGTCTCTCTATGATACAGATGAAATTTTTTTTAAGTTTATCAGGCTTACAGTGGTACAGAAAGAGTAACATAACGCAGGTATGACATCGTAAATAATTTCTATGATGTGTGAAGTGGATGCAATTGCAGATGATGTGGAAAAAGAACACAGGTAAAATCAAGTGGAAAAAGAAGAGTAGATGAAATTATTTTGAAATTATTTCAATAATTAATTTGTAATATAATACTATTCATAAGAATATATTACAAACACTCATCGGGCTAGAAATATTCCCTACATTTCTTAAGTTTATTGACTAACTTTCTAAGGAAGGTATACATCAAGAACTGTATCTGCTGATGGAAAACTCTGCATGAACACAGGCTCAAGAACACAGGAATGCAAACATAGTCTGGACTCCCTTTTAAGAACTTAATTAGTAGTATATTTTCATTCATAACATATATAATATTACCATTTTATTTTGATTCAATTAAGGTGCAAGTGCTTACTGCTCACTTAGCATTTAAACCATTTTTAATTTTCCTTTGCCCAGAAAAAGCCCTACTTCCATGACATTTTTTGATCCCCAAATTGACTTAAAATGTCTGAAATAACCATTACAGTTAAAACGTTAGTGTAGTTTAGTATGAATAAGTATCACATTATTTCTGCCATTATGTTCTGCTAAATCCCTTACCTAGGCCTACTAAGTGTTAAGATTAAATGATAGCCTCTGCTATCAGCAGAAGTCTGCAACTGAGGTCTCTCTCCCTATCTGAAAAGACAGACAAAGACAAACAGAAAGAAAGAAAAAAGCCTTTCTCATTGCGCTGCTGCTCTTTCTCAAAATCTCTGTCTTCGGCTTCAGAGGAGATGGTGAGCAAAAAGATCTCACCCAAAGGAAAAATTTGTAGAAGTATGAAAAATGAGTATTAAAAAAACCATACTCAGAAACCAGTGCCCCTCTCTTTGGTCCGATGTTCCCAATGTTCTCCAAAATTGCCTTCAACAACGTTACTCAGCTTCTCCTTGTTCTACATGTGCAGTCTTAATGTTACAAAACGATCTGTATATGAGATACACGACCAGAATAGCTTAACAGAAACTTCCAAATCGGAAAGTTTTGGTCTTAAGAACGTGTTCTCACAGCCACCTAAGCCTCATTTGGCTAGTCACTTCTGCACTCACTGGCACTTCTGGATGTGGCATTCTAGATAGATGTTAAGCACCCAACTGGTTATGTGTAAATAAAGGCAGGAACAGCCCAGGAAGCGAGATCAAACATTGAGCTAAAGGTTTTTCTGAAGACTACATGTTTCTGGCAAAACATTTAAAAAAAAAAAAAAAAACACAAACACTTTTTAGCAATTCATATTTCAGATAACAGATAAAACACCTATTTATTCATTCATTTATATGATCCTTGACATAACACTCTGTATTTCACATTCACCAAGGTTAGTTGGCAAATTTATTCCCAACTGAAAGATTGGTTCAGGCTGAACTGTTGCTAACATTCTTGTCTTTTATGGTTCCTTTTATGTTAAACAGCGTGCATCTCCTGAAACTTGACTTTAATATTCATCTAAACACACATCTAATCACTTTCCTATTTTTAATTTCAAGTTGTTGTGTTTTGTTTTGGTTTTTTTTTTTTAAAATTACCCTCATCGTCTCACATCAAAGAGAACTATTAATAAAAGCAGACATTTGTTTTCTCTTTAAAGAGTAAAACTAATTACTTTGAGGTTATTAATACCACCCCCGGTTTCTAAGTCATTTCCCATATAGGCTTTTAGGCACTACTTAGCCTCAAGTCAAGCATGCAGTTCTTTTCTGCTATAGAACAAGCATTCACTCAAAATCTTTAAGATAGTGTTTCCCATAAAAATTGTCCACTGAAACTGAGCAAGAAGTATGTTATGCCTTCTGCTTAGGTTTTTTGTATTGTTTTTGCCATTTTCTTTGAAGCCTGTCCCTTGGTATCACACGTTCAGTTTGTTCAGATGTATTCTGTTCTAAAACTGCATCAATTTAAAGCCTCGTGCAGATGCACATGGTCATTATTTTTAAATGATTCAGTCAAAGTTTTTATTATTGCCTAGGTTATATTTACAAGTATTTTGATCTGTCATTCTTCTCATTTTTACAGATTTTGTTTCTATAGTCTCATATTTCTCCTTTTTTATTTCAGTTTTCCCCTTGGTCCTCACTGGATACATAAGAAATTACATTACCAACAGTTAAATCTAACAACAGCTCATGGCCCAACTCACCTACTTCACAGGCTTTCCCATGTTTCTTAACTAATCTCTGAACATTTTTGCATAGCAGCAATCTGGTCTCTTTTCTTTTAGGCAAAGAATAAAGCTGTTCTGTAGGTAGCAGAATTAATGAAGCCAGGTTGTCTGTGGACATGCTCAGCACACCCTGCACAACTAACGCTGCCCACACTTCAGGCACATGTCCTTCAGGACCAGGCTGGTAGTATTGTTTGGCAAATTTGGCAACAGAGGTCCAAGTCTTCTCATTTTTTCCCCACCGGACACTAGATGTGATATCCCTCCTCTATCAGCTGTTAATCTCATTGAATTAGAAAGAGTCTGAATTACCTTTGAGTCTCTTATTCACTTTTCAATTAGGCCAAATTATTTGGGGGAAACATAGTCAAACATGCACTGCAAAATCCTCTCACAGAAACCAAGTTCAACATAGAAATGTTTTGTTTTAAAGCTCTATTTTGATCATCTGGTTTACTTACTTTCCCTCCACAGGCCTGTAATATCTCAAGCAGAAAGACATATAATGGTTTCTGAAAGATTTTTCCCTGGGTACTTTTATAAATCAATACCCTCTTTCAAGAACTCAGAAAAGCAAAGAGCTCATTTTCTCTCTACTGCTTAACACAGTAACGGATCTCTGGGTAGAGAGTCTTAAAGGATTTGAAGCCTGCCCACTCAATTTCAAAAACCAAGAAGGTTTTAATGAACAAATATATTTCAGCTGTAAAATTAATAAGTTTACCAAAAGGCAGCCTGAATCAGCTAACTGAAGATGCCTCATCCTCCCTCAGAGTATAACAGTGCCCTGCAAGTTTCATTAGAACATCCCATTATGAACTTGCATTCTACCTTCGGGTTCATACAATCTTTTTTAGGATGTTAACTAAAGGAAGAGGTTCCCAAGAGTCACAATTAACAGGACAGAGCTACAGGCCCTTACCAGTGAGGGAATGATGCAGAAGTTTAGATTCTAATCACTCTTCTACACTCAGTTCTAGCAAAAAATGTCAGGACAACAGTAACACTTCCTTTGAATACCTTTAAAAGTACTACAGAAGCCATAAAAAATGTGTCAGCAGATTTGAGAGAACCTGACTAATGAGGAGAACCTGCCTTTAGCAGCTAGGAAGGAATTTATGTCAGAAGGCTCGCAAGGATGTTTTCATTCTTTTAATAGCTGTAATGCGCTACACGGGCACTCTTACTCCACATGGAATCAAATTTGGGCTCTTTGAGGTCTGTGCAGTCTACTTAGTTAAAAGAGATGTTCTGGCAAGTTAAGAGAGACACCAACCAGAAGTCCCACCTCATTTAAAAAAAGAGAGACTCTGAATGCCAGCTCTGCCAGGACAGCTGGTGAAAATACTTCCTAAAATTGAAGGTGTGAAAAATAACATGTGTAAAATATGAGAAAATTCCTCACCCCTTGTATGAATAAAGTTTCCTACATCCAAAAAAAAAGACAGCACCATAAACAAGCTCCATCTTCAGCTTCATAAGCAAGTTTATTCCAGCTACCTTCCTTTATCCTCCACAGACTGACTGCATTTGAGAATGGCTAAGAATGTTGTTATACTCAAAAGTTTGGTCAACAACTGGCAAAATAAGTTATGCATCTCTGAACATTTTTGGCAGTCAAACTGCATATTATTTATTAATCTGAACCATACAAGAAAACAAGTTCCAGATTTTGAATGAGGAAAATCAACTGCACAGCCCCTGAGATAAAGGTCTTTCTTTAGCACATTGAGAATCATGAGTGGCATGATTCTGCCATTGCTAATTCCCAGAGAATGTCATTAAATGGATTTAACTCATGAGCTACATAGGAGGAAAAAAAAAAAAAAAAAAAAGCACTAAAGAAAGCAACCCTTCTTTCCTGCTTAGTAGTCAAGAAATCAATTAACATAGCAGATAAAGGACAAAGTATTTATCTTACTGACAACAAAAAATAAATAAAAATCTTATTATTGTATATGGCAGCGTGAACAGGCAAAATTATCTATAAAGTAGCTTTTATCTCTCTCAAAAAGCAAGGAGGAGTATCTATTCTTTAATCTCTAAGGGGACTGTGTCTGAACAAACCCAGAAGAGTAAGTGGTTCCTACATATGTCAGTTTCAATGGGGATTTCTGAATGTTCAGTTTATTGGTGTATTGGGGCCAGTGTTTGTGATTTGAGGGGGTTTTTTTAAGGGAATGATAGAGAGAAAGAAGTGGCATTGACTTCTGTTTTGCAAAACAGTCATTCAACACATGCTTTAGAGTCTAACAAAATTTCTGAACAGATGCAAGAGAGGACAGAATGTCTTTGTAGTGCTCCAAAGGAACATTTATCTGTATGAAAAACTAAAGATTGCCAGCTTCTGAATAATACATGAAAAATGTGTGTGCTTTCAGAAGACCAGAGATTCCTTCAAATACTTCTTTCGACCTTCATAAGCATTCAGCACAAAGGGCATACTTAGCAACAAACATCCAATTCCACAGATAGAAATCAGATCAGTTTTATTGTAAGAATGTATAGACTGAAACTAACATCATTTCCATATGAACCATTCAATGCATGGATACTCAATAAAGAAGAACAGTCATAGCTATTTTGTATCAGTGGGAATAGAAACACAGGCTATCTTCACACAGGGAAAAAAAAAACGACAGAAAAACTAACACTTTTATGCACGGAATCCAACTTCAACATTCTGTATGTGCATTTCATCATTACCTAGAAAAATGGATGAACTATTTGACAGAGGTAGTTTTATGTGACGGCTATCTAGAGACAGATAACAGTTATTGAACAACCTCAAAAAAAAATCAGCAGCACGTGAAAAGAAGCAGAACTGAGTAATGTCATGAGCAAGAGACAAAAACTGTGATTACCTGACCATTCTGCTGTATAAACAAATTTATTTTGCAGTCATCACCACCACAAGCCAGTATTGGTACTGGAAAGGAGAAAAAAAAAAGTCTTCATTACTCAAGTTACAAAACCTACTGTTATAGGATATGAAAAGTTATGTAATTAACACAAAAATCAATATAGTATCAATAAATATATTAATACAAACAGAGAGGCAAGGATGATACCACTTTTTTTGTGTTTTCTAAATTAGACACCTAATACTATTTGAAATAAACTAGTATCTCAAGAACACAAAACTCAGAAGTTATTTTGGGATGGAAACAATATCTACAAATACTTAAGATGCTAAAGTGTAGTTTCCTTCAAGCTTACATATCTGCAGGAAGTTCAAGTATTAGAGATTTTTAATTAATTATGTTTATTTTATTGATATCAACAGGCATTTGCTCTAAATACAAAAGGAGCAAGCAGCAAAACAAAATGACTCAGAACTAATACAGTTCAAGTTCCTAAATCAACTCAAATCAATATACAGATGGAGTTAGCGTAATTATTATACAGGAAATAAAAAGACCAAAAAAGGAAAACAGACCACCGCTCACAAGGATATGAAAGCAATTAACATTTTTACACACCTACTCAAGTCTTGAGTAGTAATTTACTTCTATGAGTATCTAGAAAGTGCACAAAACACGGAAGTCTATCCAATCAAACCAGACAAAGTTATGTCTAAGTGGAAAACAAGAGAAGTCAGGCAGTGTATTAGTTCATCTCTCCCACAGAAGATGATGGGGAAAAATAGTTAACCCTTACTCCACTCTTTTTGGGTCATAAAGATGAAGTAGTACTGCTAGGGACAGAAACATTAGAAGAAAAGGAATTAATTAGAAAATTATGAAGATACAAGTTATCAGGGCTAGACATTTGCATTTCTTATGTCTGGGTAGAAAACAAAATATTAACTTTCACTAAAATCAACTACTTCATTTAAAACTAAAAATTGACTTGATAAACTAAAAATTGACTTGAATATTCATAAGAAGTTTATGCTCTAATTTCCTCCTTCTGTCTGTACCAAATCTGTGCCTAGTTATCTGCTGCTCCTCTCACACTTCTAAGTCACATTTCACCTTCTTACACCTCCATCACCTGCTGCTTCTCACCAACCTAAGTCACATTTCACCTCCATCTCCTCCTTGCCTTACATGGGGACAAAAAAAGACTGCTTTGGACTGCAGGTAATGAGCTGTTTTGAAAGAAGACCTGCTCTTCAGGTCCACAGAAACTGGGCAAGAGTGAGGGGTATTTTTCCCCACAAAATACGATACAATGTATGTTCTTGGAGCCTGTAATATCCTTTCCTGAGATATACACTTTATGGCCCTTTACAGTAATTCATACTTACTCAATGGAGTCAAAGTTTGACTAATAAAAACAAGACGAGAATTATGATCTAGTCCCTGTATCAGAAAAATGCAAATGCGTTCACTCAAAACATTGTATCAAGTAGTATATAACTGGCAAAAACAGACTATTATATAGGTTTTTTACATAAATGCTCTAGAGTAATAGAATTTGGATCTGATTGAGATAGTCTTGCAAAGGAAATAGAAAAAAAAAAAAAGAGTTGGAAACTGCGGTCCAATTACGATGGGGACAATACAACTGGCAAATCTTTTTCAAGTTCACTCACTCTCTTTCTGACCTGTTCCAATTCAGTTCTGAGGAGACAATTCTTATTTGTCAGAGGCCAAGCTACAGCACCACAATTACCCAGGTGGTAGGAAGAATCACAGTATATGACAAAAGAGCTGATCAAGGTCTGTAAAAGAGTAAATCCTATTCCCAGTATTTTAGAAGCAGAGTTGCTGCAGACATTGCAAGGCAAAAAAAACAACCAAACAAAACAGTAGGAAGCTTTTTTCCAAGATTCAGAAAACAACTGTAAAGAAACTCCTTAACTAAGAGACTGCCAGTAAAGTGCTTAAGCTATACTCCAGCTGCAAATGATTGTTCAGGTTTTTATGAGCAGTTTATTGGCTTTCCCCATTTGACTTCTTCATAAAAATGTTCTTACCTTTTTTTTTTTTTAAAATCATTTTTTTTCAAGGACAATCAGTTAAAATAGTAGTCATCATGAACTTCAATATCTTTTGAAAGTTAAAGCATCCATTACATACGAATCAATTTTCAATGCAAGCTTTAAATTTCTTTGCTTGGTGAAATTAGAGGTTACTATAAATGCTTCTAGTTCAGGAGAGTAGTTTACGACTTTCAGAAAAGTAATTCTGTATTTAAATCCTGACTTAAGAATTGCAGATTGTCCTCAAGAGAAAAGCTTCTTTAAATCTTAATACAGCTGCCAACATAGCCTTCATAAAGATTTCAGAGCAACTCCTAAAGTTATCATAGATCATTTTTCCTTGAAGCTCATTAAAATTCCAAATTGCCATTACAGATTAATGTTTCTGACAAAATGATCAGCAGTGAGATTTTTAATAATATATTTTAGGCTACTTTATTTAGATTCCAGAATTAACATACTCCTCTGAACAAAAACAGTTCAGTTGTATGGACTACTATGTCAGGTTTAGGAAGAAAACACAGAACATGGCTATGCTGTATTAAAAGCCCCTTTATGGATTTCTAGGGGAAACATTTCTAACCATATATTTATGGTTCAAAATCTGAACTGTTTCTTGATAATTTTAGCGGCACAGATCATTCATATTGGAACTGGCATTCAAAACATGAATGTATAGGATTTTTTTTTTAAATTTCCGTTCCAAACCTATGCAAATAATTTCTCATTTGAAAATAATTTCAGTTCTTCAGAAAAGTAAAGTACTCTTTCAGGTTATGAGCACTGTGCTGTTTTGGATAACTAATTTGAATTGGGATGGGAAAAGGTCATGATAAAGGATTGTCCTGCTCTGAATGCAACTTTAAGCAACAGTGGGTTTTGGGGACTCTGGGAGATTTTCACAGCAAAACAAAACGCTTGCTATTCCATCATTTAAAGAAGATTCGAGCAGTCCATGCAATTTTGGTTTCAGAAGCCTTTAGTTTTAAGAATTAATATGATCATCTTCATTTAAGATTTTTCCAAAATAAATGGTCACTTCTCTTATATACAAGATGATTTCAACGTTAAACAGATGCACTACTCGAGTGTTACAGTGAGAATTTCTTACCTGTACAGTATTATAAATGAAGAAGTAATCTATTGCTTTTCAATATGAATTTTATACTCATTAAACTGGCACCACAGACACTTTAACAAAAATTCACACGGGAGGTAATGATTTTAATTTACCCTCAAGCCTTTTAACTTCATCTCAACAACCACCTGTTAGTATATTGGGGGGGGGGGCGGGGGGGGAGAGGGGTGGGGGGGGGGGGGGCGGGGAGAGAGAGAGAGGTTTAAAGTTCTTCAGTGGTGCAGACCCTGCTTTTGATATCAGACACACTCTGGAAATGGACATTAGCATTTCCAGATGGGATGACGCATCTTGATAGAGATTTCATATCTCCCAGAATTATCACAAGCCAAAGAATAAAATAAGCTTCTGTATAACTGCTCTGGAGGCATACAATCAAACAACACATCAGCATGGAACACATGCAGCCGATAGTTGAAAACTCCAGATAGAGTAAGAAACTTTAGTACTTTTTTTCTTGGGAGCCTGTCATTCCTACATCCAGGTGAAAAGCTCTAACAATACTTAAACACAAACCTAACTCGACATATGTATCTGGCTTGTATTGCAGTAGAGAATACATTTAGTTTTATAAAAAATACCTTCTACAGATTTGCAACAGAAGAATATGTCTGCAGCAGGCCACAAAATCTGAACATTTATGTTAGTAGGAAACTATTATATAAACCATACTGAACAGTCATGTTAAACTTGTTCAGCATCTAAATGTTTTCACTTAAGACTGAAGAGGTGATAAACACCGCTTGTTAATCTGCAGTTTTTGATGCAGGCATGCAGATTCTTTTTCTGGATCTTGCCCTTCAATCCAAACAACAAGAACAAACATGAGCAGCAGCACAACAAGGAGTGGGTGAAACTAACAGCACTGCCCTACCCCATTCACTTACAGGCCTGTTACCCCCTTTTTTTTTTACTCTGTCTCAGAGTTCAACTAAAGAAGTCCATTTGAGCATCATTTTGAAGACACTGTAATCAGCCAGTATTCTTCTAATTGCTAAGAAGAGTTCAGTGAAAATCTTTAAATACAAGCAGCAGCTTAGGCTGATTCCATAGAAAACAAGAACTATGGCACAAGGGTCTGGAGTCGGTCAAATGAAAATCCTGTTACACATTAAGGGGATTTCTTAGATTTTACATTTCCTGCACTGATATTCAAGATGTGCAGCTGTACTTACCACTGCTGCCAGGCAAGAAGGATAAGCAGACATCCATAACAAATCCATTTCCAAACTGCAGAATTTCAATGCATTTAGCTGGAAAACAAGAACAGACAGTGTTGATCTCATTCATTGTAAGTATTACAGTTACACTGTCATTTCCTCTTGTCATTATGTAGTTAAAATTTCCAATTCAATTTTATTTTAAGGGGCTGAAAAAATTCTATGCTTTTCAAGAACCTAAATAATAATGTTATCTTCTGAAATTTATCCAGAGTTAGCTGAGTTAGAAGATAAGTCACTATTCTCCACTGACTATTAAAGTTGTACAGCTTCACTGTGGTAACATATCAGAAGTGATAAATATTGCAAATTATATCCTGTGGCAACAGCATTCACTACACAGAAAGCTAAAACTGAATCCATTTGCTACAAGAGCAGACAGAGAGATGAGCAAAAACCAGCCTTCCTGCAAACACCCCTGTGATCCTAGAAGTGGTTAAACCGGTAAGCCATCAAGATCAGAGTAACCAACAGGGTAGACGAAAAACCTCTGTACTGAAGCAGAATTTAAAAAAAATTGGTCCTTCCACCACTGGAACCCACAACAGCAAGACAAAAAGGAAAGGACAGGACTTCATGGTGTTCTTTGGGAGTGAGAGACGTGCCTTCCAGAACACAGGACTGAAGACTGGCAACTCTCACCTATTTCTCTCATGTAGGCAGGGCAATGGGAAATCCTCAAGTACACCAGATAAGGAAGAAAGTAGCTTGAGAGATGCAGTCAGTACAACTCAACTAGCAAATAACACTTCAAATCTAGATTATCCACCCTATTTATTTCTTATGTATTTCAAAGAGCTGTTCTTCCATGTGTCCATGCAAGGGCCTAGTTCACCAGAAGGTCAAGATCCTATTATCCCAAATTTAATTGGACTCAAGTCAATAGTAACAAACAAGTGACTAGTTTAACCTCACCTTTCTAATGCCAGCATTAATCATTTTACTAAGTAATTTTACTTCACACACACATACAGCTAGTCTGCCCCAACGTTACAGGGCAAAATGATGGTTCAGATTAACAGATTCTGAATACATATTAAAAAAAAAAAAAAAAAAAAAAAATCAGCCAATACATCACTGATGAAAAACAAAGATAAATCATTCTGCAGAACAAATCTGACCCAAAGCTGTTAACCTAGTATAACCCTCAGCTTTCAAATAGCAATACAGTGGTGTACCAGAGTTTGAAGAGAAATCAATGTAGTTGCATTAAAAGATGTTAGTATTTAGTCAAGTACTTCAATGGATAAGCATTTATCATTTTTATTAAGCCAGTATGTTGTCCCTAATATTAAAAAAAAGAAGTTACCTTCTGAACCATGCCGAGACCAGATTCTCACAGTAGAGTCAGAAGCTGCAGAAGCTATTAGAAGGTTTAAGTCAGGTTCATCTGACTGGTAGACAGCATCCACAGCACAAACAGCTTCAGCATGGCCTTTGAGAGGAATGCTTTTCACAAGCTGAACACATCAGAAAGTTTTACAAAGTTTTAAATTCCAGTAACTTATCTGACAGAATTTTTAAAGCCATTTTAAGAAATAAAATAATTTAGTACTGAAAACAAGTTGTATACCTGTGATGGCAGAGCATCTGCCATGCTATGCTTAAGCTATAGCATATTCCAGGAAAACGCAGAGAAGGAATACAGCAGTAATGACTACTAATTTGGTAAGATTTTGTTCAAAGCTGAACAAAATTAAATGTCCCTGTGTACACTATACAAACCTCACCATTCCTTGAGGACAGCTGGAAATAGTATAGAAGTTAAGAAGAGCAGTTTTCCTTCCTTTTCTCCTTCTCTTGCCCCTCACCCTAAGGAACATCTCATGAAAGTTTGGAGAACCTTAGCGAAGGAGACAGAGCAGAGAACACAATGAAATAAGTAGCAACGATGTTTAGTGTGTTCTCGCAAATCAAAACAGCTTTTTACTCCTTCAAAATACCGACATGAAAAACAAAACCTCTAAATTTAGACTTAAGTACTTACTTTCTTAACGAATGAATACAGGTGATTCACTTTGTAATCTGTTCCTCATAAACACAAAGAGCCAAATGAGAAGCTTTTAATTCTGTGACCAGAAGTCATCCAGCATTTATCCCAACTTTGTCATAAACGCACCTGACATCTCTTTCCAAAATATAGCATGATAGGCCCCAGTAAGAATTTTCAATTGGTCCGACATAGAACTCTGCCTGGTTTTAAGAGTATGGTTTACACCATACTCCATCTTTTGCCATACGTTTTTACAGTATAAATAATAAATTAGCAGGTGTCCTTAATTTTCTCATTTTCGCTGACAAAACTCAATTGTTGCACAGATTTTTTGTTTTGTTTTGTTTTGGGGGGTTTTCTTGGTTGGTTGGAATACCTACCCCAACTTGTGTATCATTCTGGTGAGATTACCTATATACAAACACTACACTGTTACACAGATTGACTGGAAAACACTAGAAATGGATATAAAGAAATGGGGAAGAAGGCTACAGGAAATGTCCACGAAAAATGAACCTCATAGTCTGAAGATTTTAAGGCAGCTTAAAGAAAAGTACTACATAAGATCAGAAAGCTGATGACTCAAGAACGTACAAACAGCATCTTTTAGATATGTTAGACAAATCCACCTGATGACTGGCTAGCCAATTTCTTAACGAAAGCTGATTTGAAAAAAGATAAACTACAGAAAAGAAGAGATGACGTTTAAGGTAAAACATAGCATGACAGAATACCAACAATTTGAAGGAGAGGCACACGGGGTTCAATAGCTAAGGTAAAACAAAGAGATATGGATAAGAAATACAGACAAAACAGATAATTTGTGGTATGTGAGAAACGGGGCGGGGGGGGGGGGGGGCAGGGTTTTAAAAAGAGGTTATTCCTGCTTACCTGATTATTCCACGTTCCTGTTCCTGTCCCATTCCATTCCCAAAGAATGAGTTGTTTATCAGATCCACCAGAAATTAACTCTGTTTCAGAAGCTAAAAAATACATTTTGGTAAGTTTTGTGAACACTTACTTTGTAACAGCAGGCAACAACATAAGCAGTTATATTGGTTACTACTCACAAAATATCATGTGTCAACTATAAGCAAAGTTTCCATCAATGTAAAGTACAGCTAATACGAGTTGCACTGTGCAGGACAGCTTAAAAGCAAAGGTATTCTCTAAGACAACAGAAAAAGAAAAGTCACGGGAATATTTAGAGTTCAGTATGAATGTGATTAATAGATCTTTAAAAAAAGATTCTCAAATCCAGTACTGTAATTTAATATTTTCTTTTTTTGTTTGGTCTTTTTGGAAGACAGAAAAATAAAGCAAAGGAAATCTAACCCAATAGAATTCAAAGCTTCACATGAAAACATAATTCCCAAGTTCCCTGAAAATAATTTTTTTCAATCAGTTTTAAGAAGAAAAAGTTTTAGTGCAACCAGTTAAAAGGATGTCAGTTTATACCACTATTAAAGAGGAATGTTTTCATCTCAGTACTTCCCCCCAAAAAAGCAACAGGCACATTACAGTAACAGTCTAATTGACAGTCCCATTTCTCTTTGTCAACAAGTTTCTATAAATGCATAAGGGCAAGAATATGTGCCTTTGAAAAGTCTGCACTAAGCAACTTCAAAACCTGAAATTACTATCAAGCAAAAGCCTCATAAAAGTCTCAAACATTTTTATCTGAAAGAATTATTTTTTTCGTGGACGTGACCTCTATGCAACTTACAGTTTTGTAGTCCGAGATTTCTTAAAAGGCACTACAAATCGGTTTGCAAAGTCAAAGCGTGCAAAACTCCAAACCCTTAGTAAAGAGCCCAGTGGCAGCACCAGCATCATAGCCGCCCATCTGTCAGAGACACCGCAGCCCCAGGCAAAGCGGCCTCCCGGGCTGGCGCTGCCTGCGGGGCCCAGAGAAGACAGCTCCACCGGATCCCCTCGCTTACAGGGCCGCTCACCGGAGTTGGCCGGGTCAGAGTCCTGCGGAGCAGGATCATTCCTGTTAAAATCCCTGCTGGGAAGCTGGGCTGAAGGCGAGACGATGCGCTGGAAGTGCCCGCAGCTCCTTATTTCCTTCAGTTTACACCGCAGCCCCCCTGTTGCCGACCCTCCCGCCCCACCTCCCCAGCGAGGGGCAGGGCAGGGCAGCAGCGCCCGCGGCCCCAGAGGGAAGCGGCCTCAGAGGGAAGAGGCCCCGGCCCCCGCCGCGGCGGACCCCGGACCCGAGAGAACAAGGAACGGGGAGAGAAAGGCCGCGCTACTCACCGCCGTCCCGCCGGCGGGCCCAGCGCACGCAGTTCACCCTGCCGGCGCGGCCGCGGAGGGCGGCGGTCGCCCGCCTC